GAGTGCCAGAAGACAGCCCCCCCCCTGCCTCTTTGACTACTATTCCTCGAACACAACCCTCCGTTCAGTTTCCAACAATACCGTTTATATTCTTCTTGCATACCCTACCCATACATGTCTGGTTACCGCCCCCCTTCTCCGTACACCAGACGTCAAAGGATCAACCCTCTACTTGATAAACGCATCCTGTGATATTTGGGTACTGAGAGCAACACCAAAAATCGCAACCTGCGTTGTGAACGAAATCAAATCCCGAACTTCGCAAATCGTACATCGAAAACAGACGAAACATTCCATTCTTCGTAATGTTGCGGCAATCAATTGCCATGACACACCAATTCCCCAATGACGATTGACAACAGCATCGAAGACATAGCATTTTATAGAAATAGAGGGGGTACCCCTGACCGATGGTATTTGGCAAGGCGCGCCAAATACAAAGGGGACAACGTAGACAGAGCCTTCTACCAAGAAAAATGCCACACGAAAGAAAGACAAAAACAAAAACATGTAGCACAACCGTAGCGACCTGCACACCATGGCCGCAAGGACTCAAACCAATAACCCTGTTCCATCACCATGATCCTTATTGAACATCTTCAGCGCAGCCTTCATGCCGTCAAATATTCTTCCAGGTGCAATTTCAATCGCAAAAAACCAAATCCAAAGAACTCCGAAACAAGCCAAAAACCAAGACCAAACAAAAAAACAAATCGGAATCCACAAACCCGCATATACCATACAAGCGCCAGCGATGTATCAGAAAAACATCGGAATGAGAACGGACAATTCCGAGAAAAACAGCTTCAAAAAGTAGGGACAAAAACTCAAACAAAAACTATATTACTCGAGTACAACTTATTGTCCAACAGAAACGAGTATTTGGAAAACACAGAGGCCCCAACAATCACTCCTGCCAACTCCTTTCTCTAGTATAGTCTTTGAGGACCAAACTAAACAGTACGCACACGCAAATCGGTGCCACCGTTGCTGTCCAAGAAAAGATAGAAAGCTCAACAAACATGTAGGCAGCCCCCCTTCTGTCACATCTCGAAACATACCCATTGTATTTCCAGAGTTCATCCAAGGACACTCCGCGAAAATCAATACGTCAGCAACCAAACGTGCAGACTCCTTGCAAAGTAAGCTGTTCATATGGGAAAAACAAAAACAAATCGATTGCCTTTTTATATTTATTTATACCCTCTAGAATCATGGTCACAGATGACTTCCCCCCCCCCACGATTCTGGATGTACATAAGAACAGCAACAAACGAGGAAGAAAATACCAGTGCAATAGTAGAACGCGCTGCCAGAAAGAACGGCAAACAAAACAAAACTAAATACGAAACCCACATTGTTATATCAGACTCGATGTCGTCGCGCGATGCAAGGCGCGCCACGAGCTCAAACGGAATGCCCGGCTCGGAAGGGCGACCCCCAGCAGCTTGCTCTTGATCTCCCACATGCACCCCTCCCAACCATGCTGTTCTCCATCGCCTTCATCTCGCCGCCCCCCAGCTCGCCGGCCCCTACCATCCCAGGCCAAATAATCGGTTTGCCGTTCAATACACGCCGAAATGCATGCCCCGAAGAAGGCGATGTCGACGACGACGCGCGGGCGGTGGCTGGAGCGATCTATGTACCTTCTGCGGCGGAATGCTGCTGCGACGACGAAGTGGCGGCGGCGGCACTCCTCGCCGCGGAAGTCCTCGGGCCCGGCAGCTTGGCGGCACCTGGCGAAGGCGAAAGCGGTCCATCGGCCTCGAAGGTCGGCGGCGACGGCAACGGCTCGGCAGCGGTAACGGCGGCGGGTAGCAGAGCGGCGGTAGTCCTCGTCGCGGTCATCCTCGGGTCCGGCAGCGCGGCGGCACCCGGCGAGGGTGCAAACGGCGCGCCGTCCCCGGGGTTTGGCGGCAGCGGCGACGGTGCGGCGGCGGTGGCGGCTGCAGTCCATGGTGCACCACCAGCGGTGTTCGACGGCAACGATGAAATGGCGTCGGCGGTCGCGGGTCCCCACGGTGCAGCCGCAGCAGCGGTCGGCGAACCGGTGACAGTACCCCCCGCGGCGGCGGCGGCGACGGCAGGCCAAGGCGCAGCGGTGGCAGCAGGCGGCGAAGCGGCGATGGTCGCGGGTTCCGACTCCCTGGGGCGGGTGTTCCCTTGTTGCTTGGCAGTCAAACTCACAATAGGTTCGGGAAAGTGGCCAGCGCGGTGGTGGAAAACGTCAACATCCATTTGTTCGGCACGACCCAACACAGCCACATCACACTTAGACGCAACACCTTCCCTCGCACCAAATATCGCCGTACTCGTCCCCGAGTCTCCCTGCAACTGCTCACCACCTTTGGGTGTTGACATCCTAGTGTGGCATACCGGGGCTTGAAAAGTCACAGCAGGCTTCACTACAGGAACCACAGGAACATCAGGCACAGACATACCAGCGACGGGAACACCAGACACCACCCCATCACTAACAACTCCAATCTCATTTCCAGACACAGAATCATCCTCGCCTAGAGAATTCACACTACGTGTGAGGAAGAGACGAAGAGGGGCGCCACTTGCTGGAGGAATGTCGCCCGGAGGTGGAGAGGGGGTCGCCGTCGAGGAGGCAGAGGTCGTTGGAGTAGCGCCGGTGTACTGCTGCTGCTGCTGCTGCTGCTGCTGCTGCTGCTGCTGCTGCTGCTGCTGTTGAGTCACCGGCTGAGTGGCGGTGCTAAAGGTCTCGTTGAAGACTCGCTGTTCATCAGCATCGGGCCCAGCAGAAGGGTGACAGAACGGACGGCCCCGACCCCAGCTTGCCCCTTGGTCGAGCTGGTGCAGCTGCTCTCGATATGATCCGCTCGACAAGCGCCCCGAGTCTTGCCCTCCGGCCTGAGGAAAAACTGGTCCCCGCATACTGTCCCTCTCGCGAATGAACGCCATGAAGTCGCTGTAGTGGAACAAGAAGTCCTGGCGAACTTTGTGGCAGTCCGGGGTGTTGTGGGAGGAGTTTGCTCCGTGAACCTGGCAGAACAAGGCACTTCTCTGCTCATGAGATGGTCCGCCATCCGCTCCCGCAGCAGCTGCTCTCCTCATGCCGCCGCCCCGGCCCATGCCGGCAGCGACGGGCGCATGCCTCGTGTCCTCGATCCCCTCTCCAGACCTCCGTTTGATCCTCTGCTCGTGCTCGACCAGCCTCAGCGTCTCTTCCAGAGTACCTCTCGAAAGCATGGGGTGGAACAGAATACGGCCTTTGACATCGTCGTACATTGGGAGCAAGCCACGCGCAAAGTGCCTCGACATTATCGTCTCCTCTCGATTGTCCCCACAAGACTGTAATTGCATCCACACAGTATTCGCCCTTCCCCAATAGTCGAGCAGAGTCTCTCCATGCTTCTGTCTAAGGCAGTTCCAAGTGTCGTCCAGGATTTCTCTCTCATGCGTCCTACTTCTAGTGTAGTAGGACTGAAACGCTATCCACCCTGCTTGTGGACTCTCTGAAGCTAGTATCTGGTCTAGTATAGGTTGAACGTTGATTTTCGTGATCAAGCATATCCAGACTCTCCTGGCCTTTCGAACACTTTCATCGCCATACCTCTGCCGCAACCAAGCCTTATCGACGTGCAACGAACCCACAGGAATCTCTTCTCCTTTCATGATCTCTTCAAGACCTTCTGCATCCATCCACCCTGAGAAACAACTCGTGAAAATTCGGAACGCGACAGTCACACTTCGATCCTTCAAGAAAGCATCATTCCACTCTGGTACTTCGACTCTCTCTCTCAGCTTCAACTCTATGGGTTGGGAACTAGACGTGCCTGAGCGGACGCCATGTCCCGGAGTCTGGGAGGCGAAGGTGGCAACCCGGCGAAGGAGGTCAGCAAGGGCGATAGTTGGATCTTGTTCCCCTCCACCCGCGGCTGCTCTCGTTCCTCCCTGGTCCACATCGGGGAGGTTCAACGAATCTCGTCCTTTCCCCCCGTTGTCTTCCCCGTGGGGAGAGGAACTAGTCCCTGGTTCCCCCGGAGGTCTTCGTCCATCTCCTCCAGCCGTCTTGTTCGCGCAGACACAGCAGCAACTCTCTTGATCTATTACGCTAGCGTGTTGAGTAGCTTGGTGCGCCCGGCGCAGTTGTAGACGGCAAAAATAAAAGAACCGCGCGGCGAGTTTGCCGGCAACGATAAAATACAGTAAACTGCCCGCGGATGTGGTAACCCGCCGCATCTGTGATGTTCCGGAGCGTGATGGCTCTGATGTGTTGAAGCTGGTGCTGTGATAGCTGTTGTGATGGCGTGATAGCCTAGAGGCGTGACAGCCTGGCAGCGTGATAGCCGGTGGATATGTGTGGACACGGGCGTGATAGCCCAGAGCGTGATAGCCGGGAAAAGGAAGATGAAATTTATCCAAGTGCACGTGGTCAACACCGTTGCAGACACGTATACCCAGGAAACAACAATATGTGGCAAAGATGGTACCACCATTCCCGCAATATACCACAACTGCGGAACCCCAACAATTCCCCGCTCCATCTTCTCGGAACGTTCTTCGGTTGCAATAATCTGTCAATGCTGTGAGTACATCCAACATATTTTGCGTGAGGCTCGACGCTTATTGGTAGCCTCAAACCGAGCACATGCTTTTATTTTCCGAGTTCTTACTCGGAGCAGGCATCCATCTACGATAAATGGGGATCTTGTTCTTATTTCTTAGCCGATTACCCCATGCGGAAAACACAGGGTTTTCTGGACGGATTTCAACGTTGCACTCTTGTGTAGCGTGTGTAACACCAAAACCAGCAGGAGGATTCTGGCTCCAGCGAGCTGAAGCGCGATCACTGTAAAACACTAGTGGAAGGGTAGATAGACGTGGCATCGCCGAAAAAAGAGGCATCATGGGCAACATTGATCCGGTTTGTGGGCTACAGGGGTCACGTTGGGCGTGCGTGTCCTCCCCGCTTTACTAACTCCTCCCGTCGTGGTTGCACTGTCGCTGCTGATGATGGCCGGAGAGTTCTCCTACTCTGCCATGGTAGGATCTGCCCCCTCGTCTACGGTGTTCCCCTCCAGCAAAACCCACGACCCTACAACCGCATCCGGATCTCCACTGTACCTCTTCAACGGCAACTTCGTGCTGCGTGTACTTTCGTCCAGATCGAAAAGCACACGGTAGTAGTCGGGTTGGCGGGTACGTTGTTGAGATTGCCGAGTGATCAGCCCGGCAAACCAGTCTATGCTCAGCGAAACGAGTACTAGACGCTGCAGTAGGGAATTGTCAAGAGCAGCGGCCGTAGCCTCTTGAAGGCTAAAACCGTCCGGAACCTCCATGCCGAGAATCTCATCGGCCGGGCCCATAGTGTCGTCTTCGTCCAGGAGACTCAGCTCGTCGTTCTGGCCGCGGGCCGTGTCTGCAGAGAGCGGCGTTCGAAATCCCAGCAACATCATCATTGTCAGAAACTGATTTTTATTCGTGGAAGAACAGCAGGAGCAACAACAACAACAACAGCAACAACAACAGCAACAGCAACAGCAACAGCAACAGCAACAGCAACAGCAACAGCAACAGCAACGACAACAAATACAAATACAAAGGAGTCTGGTGAACATCCAACTTGCCTTCGTCGTCTTCGTCGCTGGATCCGCCGTTATTCATGTCCTCCCTGCTTGTGTCTCTGTCGCCTTCAACCCTCTGGTCAACCCCCCCCCCGCGCACCCTCCCCAGGCTCTAGAGGTCCCTCGTCATAGCTGGAGCCCTAGGCGTCCATGACGGGATACAATTTGTCCAAACCCTCCAAGTTGATTCGGTACATCACCTGAACCGTTCACAGTCATCGCCATGCCACACTTCTCGAAAAGGCGAAACGGTACTCCTCGCGGTTGTCGAGAATTTACGCGGCTGCCCCAACCCATTGCGTGATCAGTACGCGCCGGTCAGACGCCATCAACCCGTTGCTTTCCCACTTTTCGATGTTGTCCGCCTGCTTGAGCCAATCATCCAGCTGCCTCCCAACCTCAACCTTCAGCATGCGTCCGTGGTGTTGGCCGGAAAAAAGCAGTAGGCGAGCGTTTTGCAGTGCTCCGTCAGATATTTCTGCACGTACGTGCAAGTTGTCCATGAGAAGAGGCATTTCTCGCGGAAACTGGCTCCTCCCGCGCATTAAGCTCGGGTGGTACGACTTTCTGGTCCACTCTTCATGCTTGAAGACGCCCCCGTGTTCCAGCCCCTATGCCAACTCGGTAGCCTCCCAGTGTCCTTTGCTGAGCCTGTTGGCTGCAAGACATGTTGCTTGATCGCCTCGTAATGTCGATCAAGAATGAGACCTCTTCCTTTCAACTTGGAAAGTTGATCGAGCTCCTGTAATGTCTCAAGGGATGATGAAGACACGGTACCCCTGCATGCACCTCCATGCACGCAACGTACACACAGCGTGGCATGCACCCAGCACCACGACACCACGAGCACCAGAGGAAGGCGGGTTCTAGTTCTTAACCCTCGTCGGAAATGAGCACATGTTCTCATGACCATGTACTTAATTTTTGGGTTTTTCGAGGCTCAAGTTCTTGACCGCTAAGTTCTTAAGTGGTGGCGCGTTCTGTAGTAGTGAAGCGTTTATTATTCCGCGGGTTACTGCTGTAGTCTTTTGAGATAAAGAGTATTCATGTGTAGTCTATATAGACCAGACTAGACTACTAGCAGTCAAAACAGAAAAAAGTGTAGGCCCCTCCGTGGCGTTCTCCAACGGGAATTGCTGCATGCGCACTCCTAGCGGTAAGAAAATAACAATAAAATCCCAGCCCCTCTTGATCCGCTGTGTGTACAATGTAGGACTATCGGTGCCACCACAAGAAGAGAATGTTGAGGAGGAACGAAAAGCTATTTTCGCGGACGCGCCGAAAATCTTGTCCCGAGACGTATTGCCGAGAGAGAGTGAGAGAGTGCTGTGCACGGCCACACGTAAAGAACGTACGTGGGCTTTGATATGGTGTCTTTTCCATCCCTCGCTGGTGCGTGTGTTTGGAATCAGCTCACAACCATAGCCAGGAGTTCCAAAATCCTCGCGGGATCACGAGATCATGCGATGCCCCCAAATGCCCGATGCCCCTGGTTGTTGTTGTTGTTGTCTTCACATTAAAAACCATCCCGGTCTCTCTATCCAGTACCTCCTTCTGTCTCAATCTCTCCGTACTAATCCATCACTTGACTCGGCCAATTTCCGTGGTCACAGGCTAACGTACCTAGAAAAGGTATACCAAAATAAAATGGACCCCAAGGGTCAGCAGAGCGATA